CTTTTCTACTTTCACTTTGTCTTTTTCATCTTTCCCTAACTTTCCATCTGTTTCAGTTTTATCAATGCTATCTCCTTCTTTGTCAAGTTTATCTTTTAACTTTTCTTTCACTTTTTGAGACACTATTTCCGGTTTATTGGACTTTTCTGATTTCACTTTGTCTACACTTTTTCTACGTTCCTCTTTATGATTTACAGGAGAGTCATCATTAGAATGCTTAGAGTCTTTCACATTGTCTTTTGGCATATCTTTCGAGTCTTTTTGCGTGTCTTTTGTGACTTTGGGTTCTTTCTGTTTGGATGATTTCAGTGTTTTGTCCTTAGTTTCCGCTTTAACTTCTGGTGATTTTAGTTCTTTCTTGGTCGGTGAAACGTCAGCCTCCTGAAATACAATTACAATCATGGTGTTAAATACCTTGCTGTAAGAATTTTGTGTCCTTAGCATCTTAAAGCTACATGCCTCCAGATAAGCCAAATATTTCAATAAAATCAAACTTTAAAAAAATATAACTTAGACATTAGGAAAGAAAAATATAAAAGATTCAAGTAATAATTGACATGTGATATGTGGTAAATGACTTACTTTTTTCAATTTTATGACTATATTTCTACTACTTTATGAACACAGTAAGGGCTTTTTTTGCACAATTTTACCTCATTTTAGTAGTTTACATGAGTTTTAAGTGCAATAAATTAGGTGTAAATTGCTTCCTTTTGGTCACTAAAGATAATTATACGTTTACACATATTTTAACATTTTTCATGAAAATTAGTATAAATCTTAACCTGGTCAGTGGTCAACAAAGAATTTAATGTCTTTGTGTAACTTGCCAATGTAACTGTCGCCTCACGTCACTATCTAAGAACTTAAATACATTACAGTATGCTTACCTCTCCATCAAAGAACTTTTTCTTTTTTCTTTCTCTTTTTGGTCTATCTCCAGGGGAAGATTCCTCATCGTTGTCTTCGTTCTCCTGCTCTATCTTCATTTCTTGTTTAGCTTTCTTGATCCTCTCGGCCTCCTCTTTACGTTTCCTTAAAAACAAAAAATTGGGAAAATTAAACAGACAATTGGAGAAAAATTAATATACAATTGCGAAAATTTAGGAAACAATTGGGGAAAATTGGAAAACAATTAAGGAAAATTAAATAAACAATTGGAAAAATTTAATAAACAATTGGGGAAAATTTATTAAACCATTGGGGAAAATTTAATAAATTATTGAGAAAAATTTAATAAACAATTGGGAAAATTTTAACAATTGGGAAAAATTTATTAAACAATTGGGATTGGGGAAAATTTAATAAACAATTGGGGAAAAATCAATAAACAATTGGGGAAAATTTAATAATTAAACAAGAGCCATCAGTGGCAGCAGGTTTAACTGTATAACGATTTTCATTTACCCTCCCCCACCACCAAAAAATACATGCATTTGAATTTGTACAAAAGACCACCTAGTTAGGGTAAACACAATCTTTGGGAATGTTAAAGCTGCATGCCTCCAGATCAGCTAAAATATTTTAAGAAAATCAATCTTTGGAAATACTAAAATTGCATTGAAATTGCAAGAGAGGTAAAAAGATTCAAGTAATACGTTGTATCATATGTATGATTTATGACTGATTTTGCAGTAATTCTTTTATTTATCAACATTTATCTTACAAAAGCAGAATGGGTTGTTTCTCATGCACATTTTGGCCTCTTTTTGGTAATTTATAATGGTATTTGCAATGTGTAAATTACTTCATTTGTTCACTTTATTATATTTTACTTTTAAGACACATTTTCAAAATTTTCATGAAAATTACATAAATCTGGAGGTGTGCTGCTTTAAAAACTGAATTAGGAATTTTCAACAGTTTTGTCTATAAGCAAAAAGGTCTATTTCCAATTCCTGCATTTATTTCATGCAAAAAATATCATTAATTATAGTAATTATAGTAATTTTCCCTTCATTAAGTGTAACAAGAGGGCTATGATGGCCCTGAGGTCGCTCACCTGTATAAAGGCCCCCCGGAGCGGGGCCAGTTTAAACCCCAGGGCTTTTATTTGAACAAACTTGGAAGACACTCATTAGAAGATGTTTCACAATGTTAAGTTTTTACTACACACATGTAATGAAAAACAATGTTCTCTCACCCGCCCCTTCCCCCCCCCTTCTTCCCCCCCCGGCAGGGCCAATTTTCACCCCAGGGCTTTTATTTGAACAAACTTGGTAGACATCCATAAGAAGATATTTCATGCTTAACATCTAAGCTCTAGCTCATTGGGTTTTTTAAAAGAAGTTTTTTAAGTTTTTACTACACACATATAGTTAAAAACAATGACACCCCTGGGGCTGGGCCATTTTTGACCTCAGGGCTGTTATTTGAACAAACTTTGTAGACAATTACTAGAAGATGTTTCGTGCTTAATATCTAAACTCTAGCTATTTGGGTTTTTTTAAAGAAGATTTTTTAAGTTTTTACTATATGCGTATAGGCAAAATCAATGACCCCCCGAGGCGGGGCCAATTTTGACCCCAGGGCTATTATTTGAACAAACTTTGTAGACACTCACTAGAAGATGTTTCATGCTTAATATCTAAACTCTAGCCATTTGTTTTTTTTCAAAGAAGATTATTTAAGTTTTTGCTATACACATATAAGGAAAATCAATGAGCCCCCCCGGGGCGGGCCAATTTTGACCCCAGGGATTTTATTTAAACAAATTGGTAGACAACCATTAAAAGATGTTTCATGCTGAATATCTTAGCTTTAGCTCTTTGAGTTCTTTAAAAGAAGATTTTTTAAGTTTTTACTATATGCATATAGGGAAAATCAATGACCCCCTGGGGCGGGGCCAATTTTGACCCCAGGGCTTTTATTTGAACAAACTTGGTAGACACTCATTAAGATGTTTCATGCTGAATATCTTAGCTCTAGCTCTTTGGGTTCTTTAAAAGAAGATTTTTTAAGATTTTACTATATGCATATAGGAAAAATCAATGACCCCCTGGGGTTGGGCCAATTTTGACCCCAGGGATTTTATTTGAACAAACTTGGTAGACACTCATTAAGATGTTTCATGCTGAATATCTTAGCTCTAGCTCTTTGGGTTCTTTAAAAGAAGATTTTTTAAGATTTTACTATATGCATATAGGAAAAATCAATGACCCCCTGGGGCGGGGCCAATTTTGACCCCAGGGATTTTATTTGAACAAACTTGGTGGACACTCACTAGAAGATGTTTTATGCCATATATCTAAGCTCTAGCTCTTACGGTTTTTTAAAAGAAGATATTTAAAGTTTTTTCTTTTGGTTGCCATGGCAACCAGAGTTCTGCATGGAATTAAATTCTTTGAACAATTTTTAAAGGTGACCACCAAAGGAACATTCCTGTGAAGTTTGGATGAAATTGGCTTAGTGGTTTATGAGGAGATGTCATTTAAAGTAAAAGTTTACGGACGGACAGACGCCGGACTGACGGACGAAAAGCGACCACAAAAGCTCACCCTGTCACTTTGTGACAGGTGAGCTAAAAAACCCCAAAAAACCCTTTAATAAAAGACAAATTATTTCATATACAAAAAGGGGGATAACTCAATCAATCAAAGTCTATGCTTTAGTGATGGGTTTTGCTTACTGATATGTAAAGTTTCAAAGGTAAACTCTAGCATTATAATCCTAAAGACAAGAGTGCTAATTTTGTGTCAGCACTTTATCACGATAATGGCACATTTTCATGTGACCAGTACTTACAAATTGTTTAAAACAGACCTTACATAAATTATACACCTAAACAACAACGTTTTTATGCAAAATATTTTAAATCTGTACATTTTAATTAAAACAAAACAATATTTTACTCATTTCTGCAAATAGTCTGTTGAATTTGAGCTTATGCCTGAAACATCATTTTCCAAATGTTAATTTTCGTGACAAAAAAATTTGCATATAGTTTGATATAAAATTTAGTTATTTTAACTGAAATACAAAAAAAACTTCTAGATAAATGCTGACTTAATGTTTCAGAAAACATGGTCTATGTCTGGCACGTGAAATGCCCTTTTGCTAGTATATTCTATTATTTATTTGTGTCATTTAGTATTTGTTTTGTTTGGTTTTATGGCACACTGCACACCAACACAGTTCAGGTCACATGGCGCTGAAACAGGAAAGATGACTTTGGCTAACTTCAGGTGCCACAAATTCAAAGCAACACCAGGGGCCTAAACCTCGTCACCTGCTGGAGCTATGAGATGCATAGACTCTTATATGTGTCATTAAGTAGAAAACACTCAAAGTTGTAGCTTATAATAGTTAATTGTATTGTAAATTCATTGTTTGTTTTCCTTCTTGTTTTAAAGCATTTAATACCACCATCTTTGAGGAGCCCAGTATAATGCCAGTACCAATGTTGGCAGAAATATGATTTGCTATTATTTGAATAGTCTTGCCTTTCCCATAAAAACTTACTTTTCACTAGCCTCCTCTATCTTCCTCTGTAGTTCCTTCTTTCGTTCTTCTTCTTTTTTCTTCCATCCACTCAAGTCAATGTCATCAGACTCACTACTACAAATTTAAAAACAACAATAAATAAATAACAACAAATGATACACATATGCCCCATTGCCCCCCTTACTTGTAATGTAATAGGTGGAAAGAATAATAAATTATCATAAAAGTAACAGAGAAACTGGTTACTAGTATTTTACTGTATGTGTTTATGAATAAGGTAAAAAGTACACAATTACATGCGTCTGCTGCACCGCTCTTGAAATTTACCTTTCGGTGAAATAAATTCCGATCTTACACCAAACTAAACAAATTTTCTTTTTATTATATGCAAAGAAACGTTTAAAAAGACATTCTAACCTAATAACTAGGGGAAAAAAGCGCCAAATAATAATATAACATGACATCATTTACTAAGTTAAGTCTTTAAGTTGGTTTCCAGTACTGTGCACACGGATATTTCACTGAAACAGGCTTAAATTTGAAACAGTGAAAAATATCAAAATGATTTTTTATGCTGTTTCAAACAGTGAAAATATCAGTTTTATATTTCACTGATATATTTCTATAAACCGCAGAAAAGCATGTAATAAACTATTTTCTAGTGCAATATGATACAAAATGTTCAAGTCACTGTTACCTACCTGTCACTAAGTGAGCTCAAACTGTCACTAACTTCATCGTCCTCACCAATATCTTGCTTTTTCTTCCGACCAGCTGCTGCCTTTTTTGCTGGTGTGGCTATCACAATAGAAAATACAGTTTAACATGAAAGAAAGGGTATTTGTAAAGGCTAAATCAATGGTAAAATAAATCATATTCCCAAACTAAAAATATTATAGTACAGTAAAAAACTGGATCTCCACTACACTAGAATCCGGAACATTTGTCCGGTCCCTACCATGTCAAGTATAGTGAATTTTTACTAGGTTTTATTTTCTCCCCTCCTAAAATCCAAAAAACAAAAATTGCATTTAGAAATGCGTGTATTATTATAAATATGTTGGTTGTTTTCTGTGTAAATCTAGTACAATTTTTTTTCTGGCTCAAAATCTCAGACAAAAATGCCAAAAGCATGCAGACATGCAGACATATTTGTATGATATGCAAGATGTTCCAGTTTTACTTCACTAATATGAATTAAGCAGCTATTTTTAAATGTATAGTTCAAAATATGGAAACATTTACATTCCCTATTTTTGGTTGAAAATTTTTTTTACATTCTTTTTCTTTTTGGTGAGGAATTTCAAGTCATACCAACACTATAATGGTAATAATCATGGTGACTTTCCAGCTGTCCAGGTCCAGGAAGACCTCAGGTGCCACTCCCTTCCTTATTTCAGGACTTAAGCAAGTACGTCAGTAGAACTATCAAAGATCGTTAAGCTAGCTAGATAGCTTCCTCACATGAACAAAATCAAAGTCCCTGACATCATTCAAATCAATTTGTGAGGGGAAATGTCGTTTAAAGAAAGTCAACAACCTTAAACACTCAGTTACAGGCACCCTACTTTCAGCACTATATTTATAGGCAGAAGGCAATGAAAAAAGAACCCAATGAATTCCAACCTTTCTTAGCACTACCGCCTGTGCTCTGTTTACGAGGTTTTGGCGTCTTTTTGGCAGGTTTTTCCGCCTCTTCTTCCTCGTCACTGCTTTCGTCTGCCTTCTTCTTCGGGGGCCGACCTCGCTTCTTAGTCGACTTCTTGGGAGTTTCTTCAATTTCAAAATCCTATAATGATGTAATTAAAAGGTAAATAATTGTTCAATCTTGTTATTGAAAATGTTAGTATGTGTATATATCTTATATCATCATTCTTTACAAAGACAGTACATTTATAATTTATGAATATATAAATATGATATATAATAAAAGAAAGTTTCTGGGAAATGCAAAAAATAAATATTGTTCACTTTTTATATATGTTTATTTCCGTTCGAGCTTTCAGTCATCGAATTTAGCACTGGCCCGGTGGCACATGGCCTGCGAAAATTAGTTTGGGCCAGAGAAAATTTAAGAAAATTTAGTTAAATATATAGTAGAATAAATTCAAAACTGGAATTCGGGCTAGTAAATTCATAATCTTAAATTCATTGACTGCGCTTTCAAATTTGTACACATATCTCCAACAAAATCTGATTAAAAAGTGACCCATATTTATAATTAACCTGAATTTTGAGCAAATGCCTGAAAGCTTGCAATTTTCTCCTGGCCATTTAACCTAAAATTTCCAAATAAATTTCAGGCACAGTTTGTTGCCAAAAAAAATCAATAAATGAAAAAATATGTTATGTCCTGGACAAGAAATCTGCAACAGACCAAGCGACCGCCAGCTGACCCCATTATGCCCCCACAAACTTCGTATGTTTGGGGTATAACAATACCCATTCAACACACCTCATCATCGGGATTGTCAGACGGAGATTCTACTTCTTCTTCTTCTTCCACTTCATCTTCTTCTTCACCATCCTCTGCTTTCTTCTCTACTTTTTTCCGTTTCGCTGCCGGCTTGCCACTCGGACTGGTCTTTTTCTTTCTCTTCACGGCTGCTTTCCCCTTCTGTTAACATGAAAATAGTACATTTAGTCATTATACTTCCGGTGCAATGGTATATACATGTAAGTTATGAATCTTATGCAAACAACCATCCCATGTTATATTCTTTCCCCAAAAATGTTACGTAAAATGGTGCTTCAAATTCCCAAATACAATGATAAACATTATTATTCTCACATAATGAGAAACTACACAATGATCATTGATGTTATCAGTGTAAAGTTTTTTAATATATGCATACAGGGATATAAAATAATACCTTTTTGCTCAATAGAATTCCTATGAACATGGGGGGTAGAAAAGAAACATAAAGGGAGGGGTGTGGTGGGGGGGGGGGATTTTGAAAATTATAATTGATAAAGCTTACCTGTTTAGTTTGATCAAGTGCCTCGACTTCCTCCTCAGACACTTCTGCAACTTCCTCTTTCTCCTCTTCTACTGCCTGTAAAACACAGCAAAGATTGGTGAAAAACTACAACTAAGAATGCAAAAACTACCAGAAAGAATGAAAAAAAAAACAGCAAAAATCTAGCTTTGAAGAAAAATAAATCAAAGATGATGTAAATATACATTAAAATATTTAGTTAGATACAGAGGGTGAAAAATCAGGGAAAGATGATGGAAGATCGGGGAAAGATAATGACAGATCGGGGAAAGATGATGAAAGATCAAAATTCAAAAGATATATAATTATAAAAAGAAAGAAAAAAAACTTATACGGCATAACATAGAAAAGACTAAGCGAAAAAAAAAGGCAAAATAAAGAAAAAGATTGGGGAACACAAGTGACATTATTGGGAAAAAATATAATGAAAGATAAAAATCATGATAAAAAACAACTTGAAATAAAAAATGGGTGTAATGAAAGTGTTTATTAAAAATTTTTTTCACATGATTGCAATAAAGGAAATTTGACTTGACTATTACCTGACTGAATGTCACTCGAGGATTGTGCTCAATTTCCCACAATCCTTCATTAAAACCTTTTCTCTTCTGCGGCTTCGCAAATTTTTCTTTATGTTTCTCATATGGGAAAATGTCTTTAGGTGCGAGAGTGTATCTGAAACATCAATTTAAATCGTTGAAATTTCAAAAACCAGACAAAGATTTCATCATCACTGCAATTTCCCTTTATATGTAAAATTATTGTATGCACAATTTTGAGGGCTTAAGGATATCAATTTTATCTTTGCACTAAAGTCTTTCATATAAAATCTACACAGAACCTGACTGCTCTTCATATATTGAGGCTAAAATTTGTGCCCTGTTTCAATCTAAATCAGACCCTCAAGTCCTTTATCATACATTAATAAGTTAATAGCAACAACTCATCTCTAAACAGCGTATTAATTAGAACTTTACTTTTTGAACTTTAAAAACAACCTGTGGCTTTCTGAAGGGGAAAATATAGCATGATTATTATTTAATCAGAACAAAAGATCACTACAACTAGATATTAATTACAACCAACCATCTCCAGTTTCAAGAAATAAAATCATTGTCATTTTAAATTTTCTAACACAGACTGTTTTTAAACTGAGGCAGTAATATTTGGTTTTAAGTTTAACCATTTACAACAGTGTTTTCTAAGCTATGAAGTGGCTCAAACTACATTTGATACAGTTATATTGGCCTACATCCACCTCCTAATGACAAATCTAAACATCAACATACAATGGAGGTCACAAAAAACTGTAGCTGCAACAAGGACAATTGATGTTTTACTCGGGATCTTCATAATTTACTGACTGCCAATCCTTATCATCGGTTATAATCAGTTGTGTTTTCAGCCTGTAGATATAAATATCCCCCTTGACCCTTGGCCAAATCGGTTGGTTTTGTTGGCACATCTTTTGTCTTTAGATAAAAATGGAAAAACCCCGGTTACTTACGTTTCATGTGTTCCATAGAAAAAGATGGGATATTTGCCTTTAGGTACCTTCACATCGTCCCTTGCCTCGTCAATCTGAAAATAAATAAATGAAACCAAATCATGAAATATAGCTTATTCTGACGTATGTACAACTTGAAGTGCTGAAGCATATATTATCATGTATGCAGCAGAATTACTATACAGCCTAGGTCCTGCAATAGCCCACATGATCATCTTAGCGCAATAACTTGTTAACTCCTATTAAATTTAGGACTTAAACTGTTAATGTACTGCACTAAGATGATGACTTGTCCCTTCAGAATAAAGTGAATTTTTTTCTAAGTTTTGGGTAAGGGTATGGTTTCTTTCTAATTAGGAAAAAATGTGCACTGCAATGCCGAAATTTGGATATATTTTTTAAGTTAACCCAGTAACATATTTGTTGTTTTATTTATCTTTACATCTTACATCAATGTAACAAATGTTTGAATGGCTTTTGTTTATGTTAAGAATGGCAACAAAGTTTTCGGCAATAAACAACATAATAATAAATAAAGAATGTTCAACGAATTTAACTCATAAATAACTTTATTATTTATGGAAGTTTGAAAATAACAAGCCATATTAGGTATCTTCAGTCAGCCACGCCAAGGATATGACTTATATATCTTGAATGTGCAATGAATGTAACTTATATCTTTTTTATTTATGGGTAAAATTTAAAGATTTTTGCTTTTATTATTATAACTTCATAAATTATGTGCTTAAGAAAAAGTTCTAGCCATTCTGAGTATGTCGAGTCACATACTCGGGATGGCTAAAACTTTTGGCTAGCAGTATGGTACTTGGACTTCCCCGTTCATAGGCTTTGTCTTATTTCATATTATTTTGTTTCATTGGCACCATCCGTCAATAAAGGTATCAATGACTTTTCGCCTTCACAATTATGGCATAATATCATGATCACAATGTCAATGATAATCTCGTGGAATAGACCCCTAAGTAGAGATACATGATACAAATTAAGTTTGAACCCAATATATATATTAGTCCTTCATTGAAAGAGATCGTATTTTCTTTTTTTACAATTTTACGTTTATCGGAAAATGCGAAGTCTTTCCCTAATTGGCTAATTTCCTATAGCACAAATCGACACACTTTTCGAGTCGATTTGAATTTACCGGTAAATCACAACTTAAATGTTATTTATCACAAAAAGCAACTGATTGCATAAAAAACAGAAGCATATTTTCTCAAAAACTGTATGAATATGCAAAAATTACTCACGATAAGTAGTTTATTTATCCATATATTTAAGAAGACACATGAAAGACATTTTAGCCGCGTCACGACAAAACCAACATAATGGGTTTGCGACCAGCATGGATCCAGACCAGCCAGCGCATCCGTACAGTCTGATCAGGATCCATGCTGTTCGCTATTAGTTTCTCTACATTTTATAGGTTTGTAAGCGAACAGCATGGATCCTGATCAGACTGCACGGATGTGCAGGCTGGTCTGGATCCATGCTGGTCGCAAACCCAATATGTTGGTTTTGTCATGACTTGACACGGCTCATTTTGTGTTGACCTCCCATTTTGGAAAATCCTGGTCACACTGTGACGTCACTCAAAACCAATAATACGAAATTAGTCTAAACAAATTTTTTCTGTTGTGATTTAAGGCGCTGACAGGTACAGGCATTAAAAATTTCTTCTAAAAATTTGGTTCCCGAAATCACCGCTATGCATAGTACATATGGAGGCTGTTTTACAGGATTTTCCACAGGTAAAAGCTGATAGTTGCTTTTTTAAGAAGGAAAATTTATACGGGGAAGTCAAAGACCGTGCCCGCGAAGCTTTGGCTTGCCCGGCTATAGACTACACGTGAATATTTAAAAGAAAATCAAATAAAAAAACAATTAAAAAATATATAGAATTCTATACCTATCAATGAAATTTTCAGTGTCAGTTCTAGTCGGGCGCCGCCATTTACAATGTATGTCAATGATAATAGGCGGGGTATTCCGATAACGGAACAAATCTCAACTTTTCGGATTAGTAATAATCGTCGAGTGTTCCGAGTGAAAACGGAAGCGGTGTATGTAATATCAAATGACACCTTTAAAACGGAAAGAATGAAAGGATTTTTTTAATGACTTCCCTGTTCATAGGGTTTGCCTTATTTCATATTACACATTTGTGGTAGGATTATGATTATTTCTTACATTTTATAAAGGACCTTTTATAAATGGAAATTTTGAATGATTGTGTATGTTAATTTTTTTCATTTTGCTATGAACTTTTCAACAGATATCTATAGCTGTTAAAGCAGATTTGACCAATGTAAAAAATAGCTTCAAATCCTCAGTTACGTCTAAAGATTTGGACTACCCAATATATATACTTCTGGTTTAGACCTAGGTAATAACCTAGTCCAATATATTAGACGTTACAGGCTTGTTATAGTTTATGTCGGTCAAGCCTGACGTCTAATAGTTATTGCTCAAAAACGCATAGCATCATAAAAAATTAAAAAAATGTCTATTGTCTTGCCTTTCAAGCTTTATTCAAAAGTTTATCTTCTTTTTTTCCAATTTCATGATCAATCATACACAAAAACTCTCAAACAATGTACTTATCAATTTAAAATAAAATATAAACATCAATCTATTTTTGTCTATCAGCCATACTGGTTAAGCAAGGTGCTTTACAGATTTATTCAAAATTTCTGAACGGAAAAATATATTCGAACACGCTGACGGTGCATGGGCAATTATTTCGTTAAAAAAATATTCCGTTAGATTGTTCTGACTCAGTTAAACGCTTGCATTTGAATTAGCCAATCAGATTTCGCGCACTTTATGGCCGCCATTTGTTTATCGGCTGTAAAAGGAATTGAAATACATGAGAGGATTAAATCATGATTTTTCGGATGTGACAGTTTAATTATTTTGACAAAAGGTATTTATTTTTTAGTTTTGTTCATAAATAGGTCAAAACTTATGCAAATACACGCTGTCTTCATTGTTTTTCGTTCCGCCCGATTTTCTGGCGGAACATGCTATGGGTTTTTGAGCAATTTCGATATGACGTTGCTTTGCCCAGAAGCAAAAATATCTCAAAGCGACGTCATATTTATAGGACTAGGTAATAACCCATCAACACATGTATTTTATTTCTAATGGACCATTGCATTAAACTTACCCTTGCAGGCCATGCTGGATAGCCTTTAACTTTAGCAAATATCTTGTCGTATGGTTTGTAATCCATGTCTACTGCTCACAAATCAATGTTTGCCAATTTCAAAGCTAATTTAAGGAAAGGCTTGTAACGCATGAAAAATGCCAAAAATTTATTTTCAAAACAATAAACGTTCTGAATTACCACAAAAACAGCAAACTTAACTAATCTGAAAGGTTCACAATAAAATTTGCTACAGTATGTATGTTGCTTTATGTATTTTTACTGATTTAAATATAAAATAAAGAGACGATTCATTGAAAACCATGCAAAATTTATGCAAAAAAGGTTTTCATTATGGTGTCCGCCATATTTCACATCTCGCGGAAGTTACGAGAACCGAGAATTGCCGAGGATGGCGGGAAGTGATTATAAAACCGTAACCGTACTGTAGAAGAATGTATGGTGGCACAAAGGTGACATGTGTGTGTTTTTATTGATCTCGTGCACACGAGATACTATGTCCTGGCCACGAGTTACTAAGTCGTGGCTACGAGATAGTTAAGTCATCGGAACGAGATACTATGCCGTGGCCACGAGTTACTAAGTCGTGGCCACAAGATAATTAAGTCATGGGAACGAGATAAATTACAAGCAGGTGAGATATGGACATCCTTGTACTATAGCACATGCCTAGTTAATTAGGAAAATTCATATAAATAGTGTTGTGTTATTGGTAATTTATCTCGTTCCCACAACTTAGTAACTCGCGGGCACGACATAATATTATTTCGTTGCCATGACATAGTATCTCGTGACCACAACTTTCTCGTGCCCACGACTAAGTAACGACTATCTCGCGCCCACGACTTAGCAACTCGTGGCTACGACATAGTAACTCGTGGCACGACTTAGTATATCGCTACCACGACTTAACTATCTCCTGGCTACGACTTAGTAACTCGTGGCCACGACTAAGTAACTCGTGGCCACGACATAGTATCTCTTTCCCACGACTTAACTATCTCGTGGCCACGAGTTAGTAACTCGTGGCTAGGGCATATTATCTCGTGCGCACGAGATTAATAAAAACACACACACACATGCCACATTTGTGCCACCGTAAGAATGTTACGGGTACTGTCATCGTAAAGTTAAACTCTAGAAACACATTTGCATTACACGCAATGCACTATAATAAGAGACATAACGAAACTTATATCTACCTCCAGTAACCCATCGCGATATTTTTGTTCCAGCTTCATCAAAAATCGATAATTAAAAGATAAAATATATACGAGTAGTTCTATATCCTAGAATTGTATCATCGCACAGCCATTCATCATACGGATCGAGATAATTATGATAACGTTCATTGCTTTAGTAAATTTACATCATGTAATGATTTTACTACGCATATATAATGGAAGCTGAATATTATTATTACAAGCTTATCCTAAATACAGAAATACTCCAGGTTACGGAAATGGCAAATTTATGATCTTCAATACAAAAAAATTTAAAACAAAATGCACCATGTGATTATATTGTGAAGGACTCAAGTGATAAAATCTGTAAAATCCAACGAGTTAATGAAGAAAAAGACCTGTGATCTTTGATTGCAAAATGACATTTAGTAAACACGTAAATTAGTAAAGTCAATAAGGCTTATAGGAACATAGGACTAATCACTTGTAGGGTCTGAAATATTTTTACCCAGATAAAAAAAACAAACAAAAAAACCCAAAAAGTATTGAAAACGTGATAGTCACTTCCTTAGACTTAGGCATCCAAACCATTGAATACGGAAGAAAAGGGCAGATAAGATAGAAACTTACAAAATATCAACAAAAATGATAAAAGAAAAGAAATTTGGAGAAGAAACCAATACAAGAGGACATAGATATAAAATTTTCAAACAAAGGACAAGTAACAACACCAGTAGAAAAAAATATATTCAGTAATGTAGTTGTTTATTCTTGAAAAACGTTAAATCCTGAGGTCGTATAGAAGTCACATCACTGAATTCATTCCAGTCAAAATTCAATAAACTTTGGACTTGCGAAAATAAGTTTTAATGCTTAGAGCTATCAAGCTCAGTGAAGTTACACGAATCACATTAGCAACATAACAAGTTTTCATGTGTAACTACAACCTACAATGATGTCAATAAACTTGAAACACGTGTATATATAATAATGAAAAGTACAAATCACCTATTCACAAAAATGGTAATGAAGAATAATGGAATAGTAACAATAAGAAGGGAAAACACTATTTTTGTTTCGTATAGCTTCATTTCAAGTTAATATCAATATATATGTATGTTTAAATTTTAGCTACATTGTATATCGTGTTAATGCTTAATAAATGCTGTTGTTGGATACAAAACTAATCTGAAATTGTTTAAACATAAAATCTTTTTAATTATCGAAATTGACAACAGTAACTGTTAATTATTTTTCCTGGGTAAATATAGTTAATATTTTTGAATGTGTAGGTTGGTAAACATGTTTAGCCCCCCTTGTTAATCGGCATATTGGTTTCTGATATGCTTTTTTGCTTAAGTGTATTGCAATAATCAAACAAATAGGTATATTATTATTTCAAGTTTGTTTCTGGTTTTGAGATAATTTGATGTGTTCAAATCGGAGACTATTTAATTATGTCAACCCACAGAGATAGGTCTTCCCATAGTATAATTAAAAATGGTCAACTGGCCAGAATTATTCAAAAGGTCAACATGAATTATTGCAAGATAAAATTTAAGTCAACTTAATTTAGAGGTTTTTATTACATAAATTATCTCCCATGCATTAAAAATGCAAGTGGATACGGGGTTAAATCATATTACAAATGTTACATAGCATAAAAGCAAAAACACAAAATGACCTTAGTTACGTACGCTATCTACTGTACTGTAATTATGTTGAGTGAGAAAAAACAACAACAACAATTTAATCTTTTACAGTTAACATACAAAGGAAACTTTTCATATATTACAACTTTTAAACAAATACATAAAAGGCAATTTAAAGATGACAGACAAATATAAAAAAATCAATAAACATGTAGTTACATTAATGATCACATTTATAAGCTATTTCAAAAATATTATTGTGGTTGCATTTTTTAGGAAAATGAAATCAACAACTATATTTCCCTTTATTAAGTCAACATTTGTTATATAAGATAATTAAAAGTATGTTAAACAATAAGTATGTTTATCACCATTGATTACATCTCACATGTGTCACTTTCATTAATGTGAAAGACAGAACCAAAACATTGGGTGGAGTGCACGTGGGGGTGAAGCGTTTCAATTATATTTCATAAAAAGAGAGGTTAAGTGTCTGAAGGGTGAAATGTCTGGAAAAAATGGCTTGAAGTGAACTGTCTGAGGAGTGAACTGTCTGTAATTCCAAAAAGTCAAGTGAAACCAGCAAGATTCAATGGGACATCAGGTAATTGAATGATAATGTGATGTTTACAAGTATAAAAATTATTTAAGAAACTAAAACTCTGCATTGTTTTTAAGAGAAAGAACTGTTTTGTAGGGCTCTAGGGTATTTTTTCATTTAGATATTTGCATCTAAAAATGATTATGTGATTTCTGTGACAGCAGAAAAGTTCAGTGAAAAAGGGACCCGTAGACTCAAATCATCTCTGGGGACATTTTGCGAAAAACTTGGTTGATCGACCCAATATAACAAGATCATTCGATCTGTCATGCATGTCTATCTCCTAGGAAAATCACATCTTTAATTAGCATTAATACTCAATTTTTAATAGGTTTCATTTCTTATTATGTAAGTCTATGGAAAAAGTGATACAGTAGTCTGACCTTATTATATTTTTTAAGGTACCAGTCTGCGTCCTTGGTTCCGCAAAACAAACAGGTACCCGTAAATTTTACAAATTTGATAAATTTTGTTGATTTATAGATTAAATATAGCTTCAATTTGTTTTTTAGTATGTGATTTATATTAAGGCTAATATATAAATTCGAAATGTTTGTCTTTTAAATCTTGACTCATAATGCATAATAGAATTTACGTATTTTTCTGGTATGTTATCAGTTTTCGCGACATCCAATTATTTAGAAATTTTGCTAGTAAGATACCTTCCACGATGCAGTTTCGTATAACAGTCGCGTCTGGCCAAGCTGTTTTATATCTGATAATATTAAATTCAAAATTCACATTCAAAGCTTATCTGTTGCAGTACGCTCAGACCGCTGTTTTGATACTAAAACTCCTTTAGGTTTTAAATGGACTTGTAAACATAAGATTTTCATCCAATCACCTGACGTCCCATTGAATCTTGCTAGTTTGCTAGTCTGCACTTTTTGGAATTACAGACAGTTCACTCCACAGACAGTTCACTTCAAGTCATTTTTCCAGACACTTCACCCCTCAGACCCTTCATTTGACATTTTGAATTTGGAATTTCAGGTTATTTTCTTGTCAAATCCATTACATTAATACAACAGGTTAAAATGACTTAAAAGGTATAATTGTTTGTTTCTGAGCATAATTATATGTTTTTTAATGGTTAATTTCATTTATTCAGGAAGAACAATGTCTGACATTTATTCTGGATCAGACTTTGAAGAGGAAACAGCCAGAGACCCTGAGCCAATGGTTGTAGAGGTCAGAGGTCATGGAACACGTGGTAGTCCGGTGACAGCTCGTAGAAGCACAAGTCGTCGCTCTCACAGAAGAACTGCAAGAGATAATGAGTATGCTTATTACTTTTTATTAACTTGACTATGCATGGAGAGCTGTCCTACTCACCCCAGCATCAGTGTTTGCATCCAGATTTCTGGTTAAAGTTATCATGCTGAAAAATTTTCCTACTAAAACTACTATATTTCATAAGGGATCTACTTAAAACTTTTATCATCAACCACATCATACTGGACAAGGTCCATAACTCGAGCACCAGTCAGGGCCAAAACACAATTTTAGGCCAACTTCTTTATCTCTTAGATATCTACTTCAGACTATTTCTACAATTATGCCAACTTTTGAACTTTTTTTTTCTAAATATTTTCTAGTTTTTTACTCTTACTTCTTTATTTTTTAAAGGATTTATTTCAAACTTTTACTTCAAATTTATGTTAAATATCATTTCCTACATCATGTTCTTTTAAGAAATTCAGCATGTTTAGGGTTAATCAAATAGTGATTTTGTGTCATGTGTTTCAAGTTTTCAAGACCTTGAAGTGCCTCTGTAATCCTTGATGCATCATTAAAGTAGAATAGGCAGTCATTTGAGTAGAAATGGCATTACGGTATGAAGTTAATGTTTACAGTACAGATAACGAGGAATATGCAAATTTCTCCGAGTATCAAGTAATCTCAAAAAGCGTGACTCCGAGTGGATAATAAATTTCTTGTACACAAAAGAGTGACTCGGCGTCGATAACGAGTGACAATTAGGTCCGCGGGACTCTGTGAATCTCCGAGCCAAAAAGAGTGACTCCGAGTAATGGTTTGCTAGATATTTATTCATTTATTATTATATTTTTATGCTCTATCTCTAAACTAATATCCTTGAACGCATGTATTATTCATTCAAAATAAAAATGTTGTCGAATATTCTTCGTTCATGATGTAAAGTATCACAAGTGAAAACAAAAGTAGACAACTTGATTCATTAATATCAAAAGGAAAGATTATAACCGATGATTTCCCACACCGATAAGTGTCATATTTATCAGTTCATAAACATGTAAACATACCGCGAGGTCAGTGTATTAGACTGTGTCACTGTTCATATCAATTTTTAGCTCGACTTTTCTATGAAAAGGGGAGCTATCCTACTCGCCCCGGCGTCGGCGTCGGCGTTGGCGTCACACCTTGGTTAAGTTTTTCGTACCACCCCACTTTATTTCAGAAGTATTACAAGTATGGCTTTGAAACTTACCATACTTGTTCACCATCATAACCTCCATCTACAGACAAGAGTACATAACTCTGTCAAGGTTTTTGACAGAATTATGGCCCTTTTTTGACTTAGAAAGTGTATTGAGCTTGGTTAAGTTTTTTGTACCACCTCACTTTATTTCAAAACCATTGGAGGTATTGCTTTGAAACTGACCATACTTGTTTACCATCACGACCTTCATCAACAGACAAGAGGACATAACTCTGTCAAGGTTTTTGACAGAATTATGCCCCTTTTTGACTTAGAAAATACATTGAATATGGGTAAAATCCACTTATTGCCTTAACCCTTTGAGATATTGCTTTGAAACTTTTAATGCTATTTCACATCATTACCCCCATCTGTACGCAAGAGAAGGTAACTCTGTCAAGGATTTGTTTTAAAAATTAAGGCCTTTTATCGACTTAGAATCTTGGTTAAGTTTTTAGTACCAGTCCACTTTTTGACTGAACTGTTTGAGATATTAATTTGAAAGTTGGAATACTTGTTTACAATCATGATTCCCAAACATGTCCAGGAGAAGGTAATTCTGTCAAAGATTTTATTTGAATTATGGCCCTTAACTGTCAATGTTTTGACTTAAACATTTCAAACTTTGCTGCAGTGTTCAAGGGTATCACACAATTCAGTAAAATAATTCTTCACTAAATATCTTAATGCTCATGGCCATTGTTCACTTTAAAAATACAGAGATTCTTGTATTGCCTTTTACTGCAAAAACTTTTTTTATTGGCAAGCAATAAAAAAGTCGAGCGCGCTGTCTTACGGACAGCTCTTGTTCATTCAGGGGGGAAGTTACGATCTAAACCAGTCAATGACCCACAAAAAAGTAGACTGTGTCGCTGTGTTTTGAGATAAGAAGTGATAAAACGGAAGTTCTAGATGGAAAACCAAATGTGTACTTTTCCATTCTTAAAATAGAAAATGCTAAATTTAGACTGGAGATTCCAAGTCATACTTTTCGTAAGTTTGAGCCAATCGTGATTTTCTTGAGCCAATTTAATTATATTGGAGCCAATTTGCTAATTGGCTCCTGCCAGCGTGAGCCCTGATGGTAAATTGAAAACAACCGTAAAAATCATCTTTATTTTCGAATCGTAATATAAAATGAAATGTAAAATGAGATTGCACTTGCATTTATTTACACCAGCTAGACACCGACATGGAGTTACGCGGTAATTCTCTCTCGGAGTCACGCGCTCTTATTTTCGTCTGGGAGTCACTCTCATTACACGTTTCTCACGCGGAGTCACTCGTTTTTATGGACAAATACTCTCGCGGAGTTGCGAGTGGATTCCGCGATCCTCCGAGGATTTTGCATATTCCTCGTTATCTGTACTGTATATATTTATGTATTATAATTATATTCTTTTATTTGAATAGTGAATACAGTGATGATGAAGATCTGTTTGACGATGATGATGACGATGATGATGATGATGATGACACAGCCATTAACATTCAGACATCTCGTAGCAGCGCTCGGCAGAGGCGTAGCGCACGGCAAATGAAAACGACAAATGGAAAAAAGTCTGTGAATATGACGCCCCCTGATAAACTACTAGAGAAAGCAAACAGATTGGCTAATAAACTTTCCGCTACCAAAAAGGTTTGAGCTGTTTAGTTTTTTTACTGCCCATGTTAGTAATACATGTATTTTAGTCATTACATTGTTAAGACTTGCAGTAGTTGAAGTTAAAGACTAGTAAATTTAGTGCTTGCAAACAGTCTGAACTTCATTTCAGTGCAATAACTGGTTAACTCCTATTAAATTAAGGACTTAACCCGTTACTGCACTAAGGTGACATGAATGTTTAAGCAGCTGGTTTACCAAATCTTATTTGCAGGCTAGTTTTTATTTTTAATGTTTATCTTTTTTTTCTTGCCAAAATTGAACTTAAGGTACCCAAGCGTTTGCTTTGGTGTCGGCATCACACTTTAAAGGGACATTATGCTTCAGAAACAAACATTTTTTCCCCCATTATTTAAAAGGACAAACATGAGGATTTAAATATTTAAATAATGGATTTAGAACATTTAAGATGCTTACCACCAGAAGAAATAGCCCTGACTGTGATATTAATCTGTCATAAAAGTAGCAAAATGTAAACAAAGTAGTATATTGACTTGCATACAAGATACTAAATCGCTATATTTTTACTAATTGCCAGAAGGCAACAGAAGGGAATTATCTTTCAGGTAATTGGCCAAGAGCATTTTTCTGGAAACTAAAACAAGACACTAAAATCAATCTGTATAATATGCCCTTAAGTTTATGTGTGCAAGTTTGTATCTCCAAATCTACTAGATGCAATGGGTTGGTACATCACACATTTGTTTGAGAATATAATAGTCAGTTACTGTCGAAGGCCCCTAACTCTTACATGGATTTTGACATTCTTTAGAAACGGCAAACAAGAGGTTTATAACATCTAAATAATGGATTTAGAAAATTTAAGATGCTTATCACCTGAAGAAATAGCTCCAACTGTGATATTAATGATGTCATAAAAGTTTCAAAATGTAAACAAAGTAGTATATTGACTTGCATACAAAATACTAAATCACTATATTTTTACTAATTACCTAAAAGCAACAGGAGGGAATTATCTTTCAGGTAATTGGTCAAAGAGCATTTTTCTGGAAACTAAAACAAGACACCAAAATCAATCAACATGATGTTTCTTTAAGTTTTTGTGTGCAAGTTTGTAGCTCCAACTCTAATAGATGGAATGGGTTGGTACATCACACATTTGTTTGAGAATATAATAGTCAGTTACTGTCAAAAGCCCCCAACTCTTACATGGATTTTGACAGAGTTATGGCCCTTTTTGAACTTACATGATTCTTCATAATCCAGGTTCTTGTTTTACTATCAAGCACTGACAATAGACGGGCACATTGTCATGTCCACAGATCTTGTTTCTGTATGATTAATTTAATCATATTTTTTTACAGGCTGATAAAGCTGTGAAGGAGAGGATTAAAATACTTGCCTTAACTAGGATAGTGTACGGCAGCGTTCACTGGAGACTGGCGGAAGCTCATGCCAGTTTGGCTGAAGATTATTTAGAACTAAAAGGTATGTAAATATATGATAGTGGACTAAGTGGGGGTAAAATCATCAAAGTACTATATACTGTCATGTGTTTTGCCTGCTAGGGTTTATTTTATAATGGCTCAAAAAATTATATGATCTTCATAGCTGCTAAAGTACATGTAGGTCAATATTAGATGAATTGAAAATACATGTAATTAGAGTTGCAACTGGCTATAGGCTTTATTTTTTAATATTTTTTTTGTTGTTGTTTGGTTTTACGTCTCACCAACACAGTATAGGTATATCAACTTCACAGTTTTACTGATGGAGGAGGACCTAGGTGCCCTTCAGTGAACTATTTCAGGCATGAACAGGAACAGAACCACTTTCAGTAAGTTAGCTGGATACATGTAGCTTCCTCACATGAAAGAATCTAAAGTCCCTATCTGGATTCTAATCCACAGCAGTGAGCTGAAACTTTATACACCTTAAAGAGAATTGGTCTATTGTGCTTTTTTTCCATAATCTTTTTCAAATTTTGATATATACATTAGCAATGTATCATTTGGATATTCTCATAAATTATTGCTTGATAAAAATGTTAAGTTCTAGGTGATTTAGTATGAACAGTTATACATATGTATGATCAGTAATCATATTTTGTTTCAGAATATTTTATTATCTGCTATAAAAATATATATGATATCAGATAATATATCTCACACTTGGCCAACAACATGCAGATATAATAATTTCATGGTTTGTTGTTATGTCCAATACTAAATTGAAAATACTATCAATGTAATTATTTATTGTATTACAGACCTTGTATTATAGACAAATTCACTTCAAAATGTGGACAGACTGCAAAAAAATCTTATATTTTGTAGGTTATAACGTCCAGGCAGAGTATCACACTGAAAATGCCATGACTATTATGCTAAATTCAGTTACCACGACAACCACCGAGGGAGAAAAGGCAGCTGTTTTCGGAGTGCTCTTCCGAATTAATTACATTCAAGGAAAGGCACAGATTGCAATGAAAAAGTACAATGAAGCAGAAACTGCTTTGGCGAAGGTTAGTTTTTCTTTTCTTTTTTTTAGCTCACCTGTCACAAAGTGACAGGGTGAGCTTTTGTGATCGCTTTTCGTCCGGCGTCCGGGCGTCCGTCCGTCCGGCGTCCGTCGTCCATCCGTAAACTTTTACTTTAAATGACATCTCCTCATAAACCACTAAGCCAATTTCATCCAAACTTCACAGGAATGTTCCTTTGGTGGTCACCTTTAAAAATTGTTCAAAGAATTTAATTCCATGCAGAACTCTGGTTGCCATGGCAACCGAAAGAAAAAACTTTAAATATCTTCTTTTCAAAAACCATAAGAGGTAGAGCTTAGATATTTGGCATGAAACATCTTCTAGTGAGTGTCTACCAAGTTTGTTCAAATAAAAGCCCTGGGGTCAAAATTGGCCCCGCCCCAGGGGGTCATTGATTTTCCCTATATGCATATAGTAAAAACTTAAAAAATCTTCTTTTAAAGAACCCAAAGAGCTAGAGCTAAGATATTTAGCATGAAACATGTTCTAATGGGTGTCTACCAAGTTTGTTCAAATAAAAGCCCTGGGGTCAAAATTGGCCCCGCCCCGGGGGGTCATTGATTTTCCCTATATGCATATAGTAAAAACTTAAAAAATCTTCTTTTAAAGAACTCAAAGAGCTATGGCTAAGATATTGAGCATCAAACATGTTCTAATGGGTGTCTATCAAGTTTGTTCAAATAAAAGCCCTGGGGTCAAAATTGGCCCCGCCCCAGGGGTCATTGATTTTCCCTATATGCATATAGTAAAAACTTAAAAAATCTTCTTTTAAAGATCCAAAAGAGTTAGAGCTAAGATATTTAGCATAAAACATGTTCTAATAAGTGTCTACCAAGTTTGTTCAAATAAAAGCCCTGGGGTTAAAATTGGCCCCGCCCCAGGGGGTCATTGATTTTCCCTATATGCATATAGTAAAAACTTAAAAAATCTTCTTTTAAAGAAATCAAAGAGCTATGGCTAAGATATTTAGCATCAAACATGTTCTAATAGGTGTCTACCAAGTTTGTTCAAATAAAAGCCCTGGGGTCAAATTTGGCCCCGCCCCAGGGGGTCATTGATTTTCCCTATATGCATATAGTAAAAACTTAAAAAATCTTCTTTTAAAGATCCAAAAGAGTTAGAGCTAAGATATTTAGCATGAAACATGTTCTAATAAGTGTCTACCAAGTTTGTTCAAATAAAAGCCCTGGGGTTAAAATTAGCCCCGCCCCAGGGGGTCATTGATTTTCCCTATATGCATATAGTAAAAACTTAAAAAATCTTCTTTTAAAGAACCCAAAGAGCTAGAGCTAAGATATTTAGCATGAAACATGTTCTAATGGGTGTCTACCAAGTTTGTTCAAATAAAAGCCCTGGGGTCAAAATTGGCCCCGCCCCGGGGGGTCATTGATTTTCCCTATATGCATATAGTAAAAATTTAAAAAATCTTCTTTTAAAGAAATCAAAGAGCTATGGCTAAGATATTTAGCATCAAACATGTTCTAATAGGTGTCTACCAAGTTTGTTCAAATAAAAGCCCTGGGGTCAAAATTGGCCCCGCCTCAGGGGTCATTGATTTTCCCTATATGCATATAGTAAAAACTTAAAAAATCTTCTTTTAAAGATCCAAAAGAGTTAGAGCTAAGATATTTAGCATGAAACATGTTCTAATAAGTGTCTACCAAGTTTGTTCAAATAAAAGCCCTGGGGTTAAAATTAGCCCCGCCCGGGGGGTCATTGATTTTCCCTATATGCATATAGTAAAAACTTAAAAAATCTTCTTTTAAAGAAATCAAAGAGCTATGGCTAAGATATTTAGCATCAAACATGTTCTAATAGGTGTCTACCAAGTTTGTTCAAATAAAAGCCCTGGGGTCAAAATTGGCACCGCCCCGGGGGTCATTGATTTTCCTTATATGTGTATAGCAAAAACTTAAAAAATCTTCTTTGAAAAAACCCAAATAGCTAGAGTTAAGATATTAAGCATGAAACATCTTTTAGTGAGTGTCTACAAAGTTTGTTCAAATAAAAGACCTGGGGTCAAAATTGGCCCCGCCCCGGGGGTCATTGATTTTCTTTATATGTGTATAGCAAAAACTAAAAATCTTCTTTGAAAAAACCCAAATAGCTAGAGTTTAGATATTAAGCATGAAACATCTTCTAGTAAGTGTCTACAAAGTTTGTTCAAATAAAAGCCCTGGGGTCAAAACTGGCCTGGCCCCAGGGGTGTCATTGTTTTTAACTATATGTGTATAGTAAAAACTTTAAAAAAATCTTCTTTTAAAAAGCCCAATGAGCTAGAGCTTTAAGTGTTTAGCATGAAACATCTTCTTATGGGTGTCTACCAAGATTGTGCAAATAAAAGCCCTTGGGTTAAATTGGCCTTGTAACGTTGGGGGGGGGGGTTGGGGGGTGGCGGGGCCTATATACAGGCGAGCGACCTCAGGGCCATCATGGCCCTCTTGTTTTCTTTTGTGGAATTACATGTATTCAACCCTTTCAACAATAAATAATTATGTTGAATGGATTTGTCCTTCTTTTAAACTGGACATAACTGTTCAACATATTTAGGTAAAATTTCAAAATAATAAGACCAACTTGTAAACAGAACAGTTCAGGATCAGATATGCTGGCTGATCTTGGTGTGCCCCGGCCACATAGATAAAATTTGTTGCTGTGCCCCAGCTACATAGATAGAATTTATGGCTTTGTCCTGGCCACATAGATAGAATTTGTTGCTGTGCCCAAGAATTTATGGCTTTTTCCCGGTCATATAGATAGAGTTTATTGCTGTGCCCCGGTCATATAGATAGAATTTGTTGCTGTGCCCCTGTCATATAGATAGAGTTTGTTGCTGTGCCCCGGTCATATAGATAGAGTTTATTGCTGTGCCCCGGTCATATAGATAGAGTTTGTTGCTGTGCCCCTGTCATATAGATAGAGTTTGTTGCTGTGCCCCGGTCATATAGATAGAATTTGTTGCTGTGCCCCGGTCATATAGATAGAATTTGTTGCTGTGCCCCTGTCATATAGATAGAGTTTGTTGCTGTGCCCCGGTCATATAGATAGAATTTGTTGCTGTGCCCCGGTCATATAGATAGAGTTTGTTGCTGTGCCCCTGTCATATAGATAGAGTTTGTTGCTGTGCCCCGGTCATATAGATAGAATTTGTTGCTGTGCCCTGGCCACATAGATAGAATTTGTTGCTGTACCCTGTCCACACAAATTGAATTTGTTGCTGTGCCCTAGCCACATAGATAGCATTTTGTTGCTGTGCCCTGGCCACACAAATTGAATTTGTTGCTGTGCCCTGGCCTACATAGATAAATGTTTGATCTGCTGGGAGACAAAATTCTCTGCGACAGTTGATGATGGACATAGAGTCTTATTGTCATTTGCCTCTCGTCGCGATTCAGATATCACGTCCGACTTGAAGAAAGTCACTGTGGGAGAGATTGGTAATTTCTTGTTATTAATCCAAGACAGGTGACTAGGTGTACTGACCACCAAAGTATGACCAAAAATGTGTTAAAATAGGTGTAAAAACCAGACAACCTATCAAAAACATTTTATATTTGTAAATTTATATATATTGTAGGCGGACAGAGCTTACCAGGCATGTTCCAAGTTGTCATGTGTCACTGACGATCAGTGTGATGATATGGAAATAAAACTAGCACAGACAACTGCAAGGTAGGTACAGTAAGTGTCGCAGGATGAGAAAAATGTGTAGCCTGACAGGGACTTGAACCCATGACTGCTGAATACAGCTCCGTGGCTCTCCTAACTGAGCTCTTTGATTGCTGCTACACATACCACTCTACATATGAAAAGAATATATGTAGCTCTATTCTGCAACATATGTACATGTATTATGAATGATTTCATGTTTTAATGGAGACACAGGCAAAATTTTCATTTCTTTGTTTTGAATTTTTCATTCATTTTTCTGTAAATGTCTTCGAAATGAATACAGTAGGCAGTCACATGAACAAAACATTTCTCTCTATAAAGAGTAAAATGGTGGTTTCCTAACTTGACCCACAATAGTTGTCACAGTGAAATCTGGAAATTAAAGATCATGTCAAGCAAAGACTTAGCTTTACTTCAATCATAAAATATCCACAATATCTATTATTGTAACTTCCAGGGTTTGTTCAAGTCACATGACTTGTTTTAAATTTACTGAGTGATTCTGTCGGCGTCTAAATTTTGTTTCAACAAATATAGATATAGGTATATTTATGCTTCAAACCCAAAATATATAGAATGTATACAGCAATTCATGTTGGGACTTTATAAAATGGTGATTTGAGCTCATAAGATCATTTTAATATTTTTGTCTGTAATTTGAGTATCCCTTTAAGCTATCTAACAGTTTTCTGTAATTGTTTAATCATGAAGCCTGTTTTTTCTTTCTTTTCATTTATATACTGCCACATTGAGGCTAGTTTGCTTATTGTCTGCAACACTGTCGTGAAGACTATCTGTTTTTAGCTATCTAGATATATATTATTATCCCCCGCCGAAAAATTTCCGCGGAGGATATAGAAATAGTCTCCGTCCGTCCGACCTTCTGTCCGTCCGTCCGTCCTTCCGTCCGACAATTTTGTCCGGAGCATATCTCTAAAAGTATTTGAGTTATCAACTTGAAACTTCATAGGTGGATAGACCTCATTGAGGAGGAGTGCAGTGCACAAGAATGATAACTCTATTTTGCATGATTTTTGAGTTATTGCCCTTTGTTATTTTTCAAAATTGATTTTTGTCCAGAGCATAACTCCAAAAGCCTATGAGATATTAACATGAAACTTCATAGGTGCATAGATCTCACTCAGGAGGTGTGCAGTGCACAAGAATGATAACTCTACCTTTCATTATTTGAGTCATTGCCCTTTGTTATTTTTCATACCTAATTTTTCACCTGAGTGGAACATAACTCAAAAAGTGTTTGAGATATCAACATGATATGTCATAGGTGGATAGATCTTATTGAGGAGGAATGTTGTGCGCAAGAATGATAACTCTTCCCTATACAATTTTTGAGTTATTGCCCTTTGTTTTTTTTCATGCTATTTTGTCCAGAGCTTATCTCAAAAAGTATTTGAGGTATCAACTTGAAACTTCATAGGTGGATGGATCTCATTGAGGAGGAGTGCAGTGCTTAAGAATGATAACTCTACCCTGCATTATTTTTGAGTTATTGCCCTTTGTTATTTTTCAAAATTAATTTTTGTCCAGAGCATAACTCAAAAAGCCTTTGAGATATCAAAATGAAACTTCATAGGTGCATAGATCTCACTCAGGAGGTGTGCACTGCACAAGAATGATAACTCTACCTTTTATAATTTTTGAGTTACTGCCCTTTGTTCTTTTTCATACTTAATTTTTCAATTCAATTTTTTTCTCAAAAAGTATTTGAGGTATCAACTTGAAACTCCATAGGTGGATAGATTTTACTGAGGAGGGATGCAACACACAAGAATGATAACCTACCCTGCATTATTTTTCAGTAATTGCCCTTTGTTATTTTCAGCCATCAGTATTCACATAGGTTTCAAATCTGTAATCACTATAGCCATCAGTTTTCATTACCAAAAGACCTCTTAAAATGGAATTATTCCGCTCTACTACATATACATTCTTCCAATGAGCAAACACATTCGGCGGGGGATGGCCATGTTGACATGGCTCTTGTTATGATTAATACCTATCACATGCATGGAATAAATAACTTATTTTATAAGCGATCTTTATGTATATATCAGGTTGTCATGGAGACAGAAGAAGTATGCAGTGGCTGGTTCCCAGTACGATAAAGTCATAGATCTGACAAAGAGAAGATTTGGCGATGACGCTGTAGAATTGATAGAGCTGTATCAAGAGGGTGGACGTGTATCCTTAGTTGCCTTGACAACCCACTAAGATTAACATACTGTAGAATATAGTTTGTATGGTCAAATATCAAGGTGGAGAAACTGACGCTATTGTTTGAAGGTCATATTGCCATCATATGCCACAGTTTTTAATTGTATATGCCCAACATCTAATCCAGATTTTGTTTGATGCTGTTTAAGTTTATCAGAAAAAAACTGTCAATATTGTATATAAAGTTACCAATTTCTTGATTGCTTTATCATAGAACTACTAAAAAACAAATTTGTGTGACTTCAAGGAAAAATACTACAATGCTTGTGATAATTGTTTCATTTAATATCAATAGTATACGCCGCTGTTAAGTAAGGTAGCATAGCATTCCATTGTTATATGGGGCCAGAAGTCTTATTGTATAAGGGCATTCTGACCTTCTGATCTATTTCCCTGCCTCAGTACGATCTCAAAACATTTGGTGAAAAATCTCCTTCCATCAGTACAATTTAAGGTACTTTAAATAGAATTTTTCGCCATGTACTTTATCTGACTAAACTGGGGCTTTTCTTAGACTTTTTTCATGCTGGACTTCAGTCGAAATATAAGGTGGGTTTGGCATCCTGATGTACTTGTTTTTCTGAAAGTATTTGTGTGAATTATATGTATGAAATTATATACCGCCTGTTTGGTTGAGGGGTTAGAGTCGATGACTTCTTATCCAGTTACCTCTCTGGCATGGGTTTGATCCCCGGAAGATGCTTTGGTAGTTTAGCACGGAGGAAGGTAGTCTGGTACTGGTGTAACACTCTAGGAATGATGGTTGGGAAACTACCCGCCTATATGACTGAAATACTGTTGGGAAAAGTGGTAAAATGAGTGGCTTGGGAGAAGTGTATTGTTCTGACAAAATAACGGCAGTCCGGGCAGTATTATATGTACTGGTTCTGATTTGAGGGTCACTATCTTGTATCTTACAAAGAATTTTGTTTCAAACAGATCATTTTTGTTATAGGAAAGATGCAGCTAATGCTATATAATATATACAGATACTTAAGTTGAAAAAAGTAATTAAATTTCAACATGAAATTAATTCTCAAGTTTGAACAAAATTTTACCTACAGATACTGTACATCTAAGTATAAGTTTCCTTGACAAACATTGTTAGTTAGAGCAAGCCAAGGGAAGAATGGCAAATCATGATAAAGCAATAGAAATGTTTCTTCAGGCACATTCTATAGCAGCAGCCAAGTATGTAACACTTTTTTTTTGGTCATTTATTTAACCTGATGAGTGAAATAGTGAGTTTCGACTAGTAAGATATGATTAATATCACTCACTGTTATTTTTCTCTTCTTTTTTTGTTCAAGATGAAAATTGTTCAGATTGTTGTTTTGAATTTCATATTTTAAATATTCTCTAAAATCTATGGAGGTTACCTTAAAGAAGTAATGATTTTTGTTTTGATAAGTTTTAAAAATGCAAATGAAGAAGTAATTGACTTAGTCTGGGCCCTGGGACAAGTATACTTACAAGTTTGTATTGATTCTTTATTGATAGTTACAAGTATGCAAGTGAAGAAATAGTAGACACAGCATTGGCCCTGGCACAAGCATATGCAACCACTGGACGTGAGGAGGCTGAAAGTAAGTGTAATATTACTTAAAACCACTTCTTGTATCGTAAAAATTCACAACATATTGTAATCTTATCCTGAACAATTATATATTTTCATAATTTTATGTTTGTGGCCTATGCATCTGATGGTTAGGATCGATAGGTAGAACCACTAGGCTCAATAGGTAGAGTGTTGGATTTGTACTCCAGGGTCAATGGTTCAGTCCTTGGGTGGAGGCTAAATTTTGGACACTAAGTCTAATGGTCAATTGTCTCTTACAGCTGATTTGGAAATAAAGTGAGATTAGGTATCTATCACTTGTAGAGAAAATTAATATTCTTTAGTAATTAATTGCCAGTTATAATGGTTGACCAGATAAGTAGACCGACAGCTGGGATACATAAAAAATATGCTGTAATGTCTTTATTTAAAGAAATGGATGATTTTTATGTCAAACATCTCATGTTTAAATTAAATTTTGTAGGTTCGGCAGAAAGTTACTTGAATGAGTGCCTGTCATCGTGCACCACTGTGTACGGACCAGACCATAAAAAGACACTAGAAGTCCAGGACGAACTTGCAAGGTTACTTATACGTACTGAACGAGAAATGGTAAATTTTTCATCATATGTTTAAAGTACTTGCAAGAAAAGAAATAAAAATGAAGAATTAAAGATGAACTTTGTGATTGTTCAAATATAGTAGTAGTTGAATGTTCACCATTTATATAGGCTTTGGTAATTCTTAAAGGAGTTCAACTGGGGTCAAAAAAACTTAAAATATAAAATTTGACATTCTTATACTCGTATAAATCAAGTAAAGCACTAACAGTTGAAAAATCTACAAAGCTCAACAAAGAAATATACTAAGAATTAAATTGAAAAATCAATTTTTTTAACCAGATTTGAGTGAAAACCATTTCAGTGCTTCTCATTTTGGGGTTATTTTCCACAATAAGAATGGTTGTTCTGAAAAAAATGGGATGAGGGAATGCTCAGAAAATTTGCGCTTCAGTTATTGGTCGAGACCTACATCAAACAACCGAAGAAAAATTTTTCCTGTCCCATTATGTCAAAAAATCTTCGTGGAGTCCCCATTAATTAAGTAAGGTTCTGAAACGATTAAATTTACATGATACCTTAAACATTACAGGATGCCTTAGAAATGTTGAGATCTTCATTACCATTAAAGAATGATGTTTACGGAGAATATTCGGAAAATGTTGCAGATACTCATAAATTGATAGCATCCGTACACCTGGCTCAAGGCAATATTGAAAAAGCTCTCAGGGCATATAAAAAGGTAAAGTTACTCTATCTTTACATAATACAGTCAGGAATCATTACAACAACACTGTTGGTTCCCAAAGAATATGTCAGTATATTGAATTTGTCAGTATATTGAATTTCATCGATATGCTTATTCACTGGTATCTGAACATATTGATTGCACACTGTTTGTTGTCATAAGTTGGCAAGTGTAACAAAATTCAGCTGACCACAACGTGTTGGTATTGTAATAAAGTGTAACAATCAACTGACCAAGCTACAATACCTGTTATAACATGTTGCGGCTTCACGTTCACGGCTCAATGATACACGCACTTGACTGACCAAATGTCAGTTTAACGGGTACTGATTGTATAGAAAATAACACATTTGGTTTCCAATTTTATTGTGTCGGAGTCAGAATACGAATTTTCCGTTATAAAGGATTATAATAACGTTTAAAAAATTTGGTGCCCACCAACTCACTGTCATTATTTGAATTTGTCAATATAATAGATTCCGATGTATTGAGTCCTGACTTTATTTGATTTAAACAAAAAAAAAAAGAATTCCATGCAGTAAAATTATGATCATGACATATTGTATAATGGTAGCATTTTAAAAGTATCACATTAAGTATTTTTACATGAGCATGTGTTTAGTTCCTTAACTCTCTCCACTGGGATGAACCCTATTGGCGAGCATATATATGTACTTCATTTATAGCTGACTTAATTTAAAAGGGGGACTAAGTTAATTTATTCTGTACATGTGAATATGTGTGTGGCATGATTCACATCTCAAGATCATAATTAAGGTCTCAAGACCAACTCTAAGTACTTATAGTGGGACAGGAATAAGATGGGATGACTCCCAAAAAACGTTAAAAATAGACATTTTAAGATGAACAGCAGTTTAAAAGCACCTAAATTTAAATGGCCAAGATGATTATAAAGCGTAATGTCTTTTTATAAAAACACAATATGTGTGTCATGGGTGCGTGCTTGTATTTTTACTCTTTCGATTCATTTAATTTATAGAAGGGTTCTCTATAAAAGGGTTCTCTAGTGTAGATTTCATCCAGACCATCTGACCTCTTTAGGGCTTGCAAGTGCTACAAATGAATACTCTGAAACATCCTATTTCAATGTTATTCAGATTTAATTTAATACTTTTACTGCATTTACATCAAAGATATGACATTCCTGACAGGTCTAAAAATAAAAAAAAAATTTTTTTTCTAGATTTTGGCAGGTATCTAAAAATAGTGAAAACTTGGGTTTTTCCCTTGATTTTTGTACATGCTATACTGGAAAAACCACACTGTACTAAGGAGGTATAGGCTTAACTGGAAACACCGCAATATAGTAAGACACAACCATTCACACATGACATACACATACAAGTTTTGTGTCATTGCATTACAAAAAAGGCTTTACTACGTATATAACATCTTATTATACTGATCTTTGTATTTCTTCACCCGTGATTGACTACATTTTCATCAGAAAACTTATAAGTATTACTGTATATAATAGATACTAATATACTGGTAGAATCCATATGTTTTAGAAATTGTTACAAAAAAAATTGTTTTATTTTGTATGTTTTCAGTGTCTGAATATTGAAACTCTTGTTTTGGGTAAAAATCATAAAAAGACGAAGGACAGTGAAAGAACTATTGACATACTTATGGCGTACGTATAACATGCTTCATACCTTGTTTATTTCACTATTGCAACATTAATTTTCAGAAATGATGTCAAATTTTTAACCGCTTATAATGTTAGTACATTTGTGTATATAAGATTTAAAGATTTTTGACAGGTTATGCTGCCGTATATAAATAGTTGTTTGTAAATTTAGCTTGAGGCCGCTAGGCAAGGGTTATATTGCAAACAACTGTTTATATACGGTCATATATTCTGTCGGGAATCTTTATTACAAATTTATAATACAGCAAACTTCCTTTTTTTAGAGGAAAAGTGTGATTTTTTCATAAATTGTCAGCTGTGTATATAAAACTATAAACGTCAAGATTATCCAATGAAAAGCATTGTTACATATGTGCTGTATTATAAAGAAAATCACTGAAATAAACTGAATATATTGAGATTCTTTACGAAGTTGTCAATTCATATTGACTAACATAAATCCTTGTGGCATCAGTGGCCAAGTGATCATGGTTGTTGACCGAAGCACTTGCTCCTCATTGCATTGGGTTTGAATCCTACCAGGGACGTAGAAATTTTTTCATTTTTCATGCGAGGATCTATACAGCTGCCTTATATTACTTTTGAAGTTTGTTTTAAACCCTGGAAATTGTCAGATATTTTAAGTTCCAGAGAAATTACTTGTATGATCTTGTTGTCTTCATTTAACTCAAAATATTTCCTTATTTTATCTCATGTTTTAGACCCTGTATGAAGTATTTGTATTTAATTTGTAAGTTGTTGATTTTTTTCTTGCAGGAGTCCAGGACTTTCTAAAAAGTTTGTGCTGAATAAGGAGGAGGAGTTAAAGAAACGACCTAGATTTAACAACTTTTCTAAATCGGCAAAATAATGTGACGCAAGATTGGAGGATTTAATTCATAATTAACCTTGTTTATTTACACTAGTTATCTAATATAAACCTCAACACTTATATTTACATTATGCTGTAAGATTAAAAGATATTTTACTCAGGTGCCCGTTCGTGCCTGAAATAATGCACGGAAGGGCACCTGAGGTCTTCCTCCACCAGTAAAGCTGGAACGTCGCGATATGACCTATACTGTGTCGATGTGACCACGGATTTATATTACAATAAATATAAATCCGTGTAATATAAATCCGTGTAATATAAATCCGTGATGTGACGTAAAACCCAAAACAAACAAAATAAAAGATATTTTCAACTTTTCATGTCTGACCAGGTCCGGCAAAATATTATTTCACATATTTGTCTGTTTATATCGAAAGCATTTCTTAACTTGTCCATATGATGTTTATGTAATAAATTCTCGAAAATTCCACTTTTTCGACAACCTTGGCAATACAGACAATTGATTTTGCCGCCCCTGCTCTCTGTAATTGGTAAATCTTTTAGTAGACATAAAGAAATTTTGATTATAGGATAATACCCAATATGGTTATCTCCAAAAATAAAATCTTCCTATAAGGTCCATTGTTTATATGAATCTTTCATATTCTCTCTTATTTTTGTTGTTAAGTCTTTTATGTAGTTTCTATTTATTTGTATATATACATGTATTATTTTAAGTTGTACTATACTACACTAGATAAAAATAAATAGATTTAAAAAAAAAGATTTTGACTTTGTATTCACTTTAGTAGGAGGTTTAGTGTAGACTTTAAGAGCTGTTTGCCAATCTTTTATAGCTTGTTGCAAAAAGGGAAGTAACTCTTGATAACAAACACAATTGTAAGTCTCCACAGTTGATTACAACTGCTGTTAATCTTGGTGTTTAATACACCATTGCGTTCCCTTGCTTCTATACAAGTAAGCGCAGGTTTCTAATAAACAAGCTTAAATCATGAACGAGTTTAATACACCATTGCGTTCCCTTGCTTCTATTCAAGTAAGCGCAGGTTTCTAATAAACAAGCTTAAATCATGAACGAGTAGTAGAAAGCCGATCAAAAGGTATTTATAAGGTTTATAAAATGCTTTGTTTCATGGAACATAATAATTATTCATGTTTGTTTCCTTCGTTCCGTTGATAAAAGTCTGCTTTATTTAATTGATGAACATTTTTTAAATTCAAAGTTGTTATTATAAACAGTACATGTAATGGTAATGAATAAATATCCGTTTGTCGCGGCTGTAAAGTTTGCTTTGGCTATAAAACAACATGTTTGTTTGTTTTGGTTTTACGTCACATCGACACAGTATAGGTTATATCGACGTTCCAGCTTTACTGGTGGAGGAAGACCTCGGGTGCCCTTCCGTACGTTATTTCAGGCTCGAACGGGCACCTGAGTAGAACCACCGACGTTCCGTAAGCTAGCTGGATAGCTTCCCCACATGAAAGAATCCAAAGTCCCTGTTGGGATTCGAACCCACAGCGGTGAGGGGCAAGTGGTTTGAAGTCAACGACCTTAACCTATCGGCCACGGACGCCCCAAAAATAAAACAAAATAATCATACGTCTGCGATGTTTCCTAATAAAGTTAAGACCACAGTTATTAAGTAGCGAAAGGACTATAATCATATTGTATCATAGTTTTGGGACCTTTGTGTTGAAAATGTGTCAGAGTTAAGTCGTATACATAAACAGGCACAGTGCGTTAACTGGAGTGCAGGTATTAGTTCATGCTGGAATATTATTCTGAACAGCTAGAATCTACAATCTTATTCCGACAAGCTGGAATATGATTCTGACAAGCTGGAATTTTATTCTGAACAGCCAGAATCCTTTTCATACCAGCTGGAATCTTATTTCGACTAGCTGGAATCTTATTCCGACAATCTGGAATCTTATTTTGACCAGCTGGAATCTAATTCCGACCAGCTGGAATCTCATTCCGACAAGCTGGAATCTTATTCCGCAATCTGGAATCTTATTCTGACGATGTGGAATCTTATTCCAACGATATGGAATCTTATTCCAACAATCTGGAATCTTATTTCGACCAGCTGGAATCTTATTCCGACAATCTGTAATCTTATTCCAATGATCTGGAATCTTATTCCAACAATCTGGAATCTTATTTTGACCAGCTGGAATTTAATTCCGACAAGCTGGAATCTTATTCTACAAGCTTGAATCTTATTCTGACAATCTGGTATCTCATTCCGACCAGCTGGAATCTTATTTCGACGAGCTGGAATCTTATTTCGACCAGGTTTAGTCTTATTCAGACCAGCTGGAATCATATTCCAACAAGCTGGAATCTTATTCTGACGAGCTTGAATCTTATAAGTACCTGCTTGAATCTTATTCTGACATCGGAATCAGACAAATTGTGTTGTTGATACTTTTGCGAAATGTCATTTTTTTCTTAAAACAACAAATCGCCGCTCAAAAGGTACAATGTAACACGGGCCTTATGCTATCTTTTCCCTGCGATAGCTAATTCTTGAGCCTTATATTGCTGTAAAGAATACCCTCTAAACTATCACGATCTATTGATTATTCCACTAATTTTAAAGTACGTAGCGTTGATTTTACAATGGCTAACTGTGCTAGACGTCAATTTCTGTATGAATCTGCCTTCAATGGCGTTTTTGACACAGATCCTTAGGCCGTTATTCCATTTATACGTGATCAGTGGTCCGCGTCCGTCATCCGCGTCCGCTACCGATTCGCTTATCAAAGAATACGTTGCATCTATTCCTTTTGTCCGTTTACCATCCGCTTCCGCGACGGCATCCGCGACGTTTCGCAGGATGAGCGATTTTTTACGGACGCGGACAGTCACTTACATGTCTCATCCCTACAAAATGCCTCGAACGAAATTAAATACTTTATCAATTTCGAAAGAAAATACTAAAGAGCTCACCAAAATAGTGTGGGAGAACCTATAAGTTTATGATGCAGCAATGACAGATTAAAATCAAAGCACAGAAGGCGCTGAATTTGTTTGGCTCTCAGAATGTAAGAAAGGTGCAGGTTGTGAGATTATATGTATAGTGCCACCAATGCTTTCCATCGTTTTAATTGTAGTAAATTGGCTATTAGACTTATTGCAACACTGATATTCAATCCAATGTTTATTTGACTTAAACAATTTTTAAAAAAATGAGTTGCCTTTACTGGGATTTGAACTCCAGACCTCTCGCTTAATAGGCGAGCGCGAAAACCCTTCAGCCACGGTGAATTTATATGTAAAGCCCCAGTCACACTAGAGCTTACGACCAGTGAAGACCAGTTCACGATCACCAGTGACCTCTGGTCGCGGACAATCTTTAAAACGTCTTACGACGGTCATCGGTGATCTTTGACAGTCGCAGGTTATCTTATTTAGGTCCCACGACCAATTTCAGTCGTAGAGAGGTTTTTGAGCTTGCACAAAAACCTCCTTGCGATAAAACAGGTCGCTAGTGATCTTATAAGGTCTTAAGGCTGTCGCACGATGGTCGTTCGGAAGTGCGACAATCTTACGACAGTCTTTACAAATTTCCACTAGTCACTGATAATCTTAAGTAGTCTTTAGTTATCGTGTGATGGTCGTACGACAAGTAGTAGGTGATCGCATGTTATGTCACGGGTAGTCGTAAGTAATCCCAGGCAATCTTGAGACCATCGTACGTTTACTTATGACCTGTCGTGCGATTGTCAATGATGACTTGTCTTACGATGCTAGCAAAAGTAAATTTATTTGTGCAAAAATGGTTTGAGTCGCAGACAATCGCTGATGATCGTCAGTTTTACAAGTCGCCGGTGGTCGCAAGTAATCGTAAGCTCTAGTGTGACTGGGGTTTAAACGGCCTGAAGAAAACCATATATTATTCTAAATTAGGGCTTGTAACGACTTTAACTGTTGTTTAACACATATGTAAATAATCCTGGAGCTTACTATATAAGCATGTTTATAAAGAATCAAAGGGATGCAAGTTCTGTGTTATTTTCTGATCTTTGCATATCTGTATGCATTTTCCTGTATTAGTTTATTTTTATGTATTATAATTCATTTTGCAAGGCACCAGAGTTTGATACATACGGAATTCTGCATAACTAGAGATGCATCAAAAAATCATTTATGTTCATTGTTTTACGACAGTCACACTTTATCCTTGCATAATATGGCTACTTCCTTAACAAAGACACTTAAAAAAAGTTTCCTCGCCTTGGATTTGAACTCCAGACCTATCACTCCTGAAGCGAGCGCGTTACCCTTGCACCACGGAGAAGTTATACGAATGATATCTGAATAACATCAAGTCATTATAAATTTAGAACTTCCATTGCATTTCGGGTTTGTAATCCTTATTAATTTCGAGGTATTTAGTTCAGGATAAACCTGTTGTTTAAAATTGAAGTAAATAATTTAGCGAAAATCTTCTCGCCCAAACAGTCCGACATGTAGAACACTACTCGGTTTGTGTAGTATTCGGTAATCGACATCGCTAAAAATAGTATTTTCATTGATAAAATCATATTCATCCGCGTAATTTGTGATTGTGCATTTATTAACAATTCTATTAGCCAACGCTATTTTGAAACTTTGAATGCGTTGTAATTTGTTGGATACTTGTATCAAAATAAAAATATTTCTTTCTTTTAAATCCCTAGTTTTAAGCTCTTTTGAGAAATACTTGTTGTTAGGTTTGTTGTGAACTTCTGTGTCAGAGATTGAATGTCCGCTTTGTATTTACTAATTTTCGATCAGAAAATACAATAAAACACTATTACAAATCTTCGACCATTCGGGAATTATTTTGCTTGAAAATTAATTCGCCTGTCTTTGACCATCTTTACGCAGTGATTTCCCCTGAATTTTTCGGCGTGAGTGTACATATAAAGGGAAGTAACCGCTTCAAAAAAGTGGACTACTTTCGGCGTTTGCAATTAACAACATTAGACTCTAAAATTTCGCTACCATTATTTGTTTGGTCTGACGACCCAAACAAATAAAAAACAACATCTGGTCTTCGGTTGCTAAAGAGATGTTATTTGAAAACCTAACTGATATTCAATGTTTGTTACCTAATTCTTTGATGTTACAACTGTTTTTGGTATTAGAATAAAATTATATCATATTCTACAAAAATTCTAATTATCCTCTGTTCGCTATACTTCTATTTAAAGTATATAGAAAATAACGTACCTATGGAATA